ATGCTGAATTCTGTACAACTTGTGGGGGAAAGGGAGCAGACAAAAGATGCTCAGTATGTAAAATGGTAAGAATAAAAAAAAATAGTTCCACTGAGGTGCTGAATATTTTGAATGTTTCCCTATTTACTGCGTAGACTTAGGAGGAATGGCATGCATGTCTGCACTGAATATGTTCAAGCCATCTATTTCTGGAAAAGATGCCTGAAATTCACAAGTAGGAAAGAGTATTTGGATATTCAAGTATGTATGCTTAAGAATGAAGAAAGAGTAAAATTTCTGTATGTTCAAAGTTAATAAAAAACTGCTCTTTATAGATTCTTATATAGGTTAGACTCATTCCATATGACCTTACAAATTGCTTAAAAATACCATGAAATGCTATACATAGACATTTAACTTGATGCACTAAGAAATACAAGGAAATTGTCTATTCTTTTAGTACATGAAAATGAATTGGTAACTCTGGTAACTTTCAGGTGATCTACTGTGACCAGAACTGCCAGAAAATACACTGGTTTACCCACAAAAAAGTCTGCAAGATCCTGAAGGAAATTCATGAGAAACAAGAACTAGAAGCTGCCAAAGAGAAAAGGAAGCAAGAAAAGAAGCAAAAGAAAGGTTAGGATCTGCTGTTGCCTTGCTGAAACTAATGCTGTGTTAACTACATCACAAAGAGCAATTTTATAGGTCTTAAAGCTGTAACAGCTGAGGTTAGGAGAAAAATCTTTGATGAAACATAACAGTAAAGCTGAGTTTGTTGGGATTCTGGCCTTTCAATTTACAAATGCTGTATACTTTCCAAATCTGGTTTTTAATGACGCAGTTACACAGATTTCTACAATGAAAGCATTCTGATTTACACTGCACTGTTTCAAAATCCCGATCTTTAATCAAGCTGATACAGGACTTCAGTGCTGCTCTATGTTTTGTTGGAGGTGTTAGGACAAGTTGGATAATAATCAAGCAGCCTGCTCCTTCCAGTTACAAAGGTTAATGTAGATGTTAAATCTCCCATAATACTTCTCTTCATAATCACAGTATCAAGTTAATTGTGTTGTGTGCTTAGAATGTGAGGAAATCAAGCAGTGGTCTTTAAACTGCTCATGGTGGTTTTCTTCCTTCAAGACACAAGTAATTAAAGCATAATAACTGAATAAACACTGTATTGCCCCTTCCCATGTTTCTTCAAGTGAAATAATAGAAAAGTAGGGGATGAAATCACTTTTTCTCTTCTACAACTTACTGGATTTTCCTTCCTTTGTTTTAAGGATTGTAGAAGTGCAGTGCACAAATCATGGTTACCTTACAATAGTGATGTTCACTTCAGCTGTACTCAATATAGCAGGATATAAATCAGTAATAATTGAAGTTTTCAACAGTTTCCTCTGTTGATCCTGTTACAAGAGCTGCTCTTGAATGGGATCAGGATAATGTGGAAGTTGGAGGCAAGAATATTAGAAATCCCTGGATATATTGCATACCAGTACAACAAAACTTAATGAGCTGTGAGCAGTGATGCCTCACACTGGTGCCAAACACACACCTTTGCAGGTTCATATTTTCTGAAGGAGTCAGTGGCGAGATGCTGTCGTTTTCAGAGGGAGAGGCAAGGTGGATGGCTCTTCTCCCTCCCTGCCTAAAAAGGAAAGCTAACATTTTTTGTTACGTTTCTACTCCACTATCTACATCTTAATCTTCATTAACTGATTCAGGTACACAGCCAGCACACTATAGACCTTATCAGATTATGCACTGTTAGCAAGACACTGAAACCATCTGAGCTTCAGGTCACCCTGTGAATGGTGGTGTATCAGAGCATTTCATATCAACAGCAGTTTTATTTCAGAAAGTTAGTAATACCCCTACAAATCCTGTACATCAGGAAAGTAATAATTAAAAAACAAATGCGACAGCTGCAACTACAAGCAAACCCAAGAGTTCCAGTGTTTCCACTGTACGGGGGTGAGTATCAACCAAGTCCACGCTTCAGCCTGTGCTGAAGGCTGTTAGCTCACATAAGACCTTGGCAGGGCTTTGGCAGGGTTGTGGCTTGCTAGCTGTGACTGGTTTTGGCTGGCTATCAATCACAACAGAGAACAAGAAATTAAGATTTAACTACTGCTCCCAATTAGGGAGTACTGCTCCCAATTAGGCTTTCTCCTCCTTTTCAGAATTCCTAGCATGCAGGCCCTACTTAGTAGAATCAGGGGGAAAAAGTTCTTTAACAACTTTCTTTTCTCAGAAAACATTGCTTGAACAGGAAAGGTGCAATAGCTGGTTCTGTTTCATGCCGTCAAGTTAAAAATTTTAGGATGACTTATTTCAACCAAAGTTCATTGTTTGTAAGAACATAATTTCTTCAGTGTGCTTCATGCAGAAATGCTTCCTATGTAGTTGTGTCAGTGCCTTTTTGATTTAAAACAAACCCCACCTGTACTTGGTGTTTAACTGGCATGCAGCCATTCTTTGAAAAGCTGGTGATAAGAATAGTGTCAATAAAGCATGTTTGAATTGGAAGTTAAAATAACTGTAGTGTCCTACTCTGCTCCTTTCTATAATAAAAAAAAAAAAGTCTGGCAAAATGGAGGATAAGTTAATGAGAGCTTCGTATAGGGTTAGTTCCAGAGTAACCTTATACCAACTTAAGCAAAGCTTTTGTGCTTTGGGTTTTTTCAATTAAGATTTTCTAAATTAATCACTTCTGTAATTGATGCAAAGTATCCTAGTGTTGTTGTTCTTCAACAATAAAAAAGTTTGCTTGCAGAGTTCAATGTTTATTAATTGTGTGATTTCTCTTTTGTTTAGATGAAATGCAGCTAGTAGAGGGTAGTTCTACAAGTGAACAACAGTCAGATTCCGATCCAGATCCTACAAAAGAAATGGATCCAAATCATCCTACTGAAGGAACAGAAGAACCTGAATTTACCAAAGAGATGGAGGCATTAGCCCTACAACCTGAAAGTCCAGTGGAAAGGGAAACTGCCTTAGATGACATTGATCTTCAAAAAATTCAAGATTCTGAGGAGTAACAAGAGGGTAGGAAGGGACTGAGAGTTCTCAAGGGTACTAAAGAATTTTTTGTGCTGACCATGTCTGAGTTCTTGGAGCATGGTTTATGCAAGACTTCCTTTAAAAGACAGATCTCTGTTCATGAAGAGATAGAATACTGGCTACTTTGTCTATAAATACTCCAGGTTTTGTTGTAAATTGTCAAGATAGGTATTTATTATGTGCTAAAAATCAGTGGCATAGATCCATCTGTATGTATACCAACAATAAGACTAGTGAAACTGGAGTTTCTGTGGCTAATGAACCACTTAGTGAAAAATGAACAGCATTTGATTTGTCTTCATGTTTTCCAAATTTATTTTAACAATAATTTTATTTTTTTTCTTGCAAGTACATAGACCTGTAGTTCAAAGCACCAGAAGGCCAAATGTTAAATTGGGGTGTTTTTTTCAGCACTTTATGAAGCTTTATCTGAAGGAATTCAATAGCAATTAAGTTTCTGAAGATTCTCATCTGAACTCTCAACTTTTCATGACATTACTGTAAATATATTTGACTAGTAAAAGCACAACAATAATGTCTATTTTGTGGCAATTGTAGTAAATGAAACTGCTGTTTCAGGTGTCTGAAGCTGATGGTGAAATGTGTGTTTCACTGTTGGTTTGGTCAGAAGTATTCCAAAGTCTAATGAAGGGAAGACCTGAATGAGTCAAAATATTTTGACTGACAAGAGTAATGCATTCTAAGTAATTTTTCTGGTAAAGATGCCTTAGAGCACAGTGGGATGTTTGTTGCTTATGAATTATTTCATAAACAAAAAATGCTTAATATTTTTCATGCTGAACTGGTCACAGTGAATTAGATGAGAAAATTCATGTGTGCATTGATACAACTGGGATTTCACTTGGGCTTTCAGCTAAATATCAGATCTAGAAAATAGCTTCCCTCAACTTTGTTTTTCACTCATATTTATTTCTGTCTCATGAAATCAGTGGGAATGCCACAACTGAAAATATCACTTGCTGCCTAAGGATGGCAAAATCAGAGACTGTCTTATTGTCAGCTGAATCACTGGTGTTCTAAACATGGCAGTATTCTTCTAATTAGAGGAGTAAGGACCATCCTCAAAACAGAGGGAAAATGATATTAATTTTTTTTACTATTTAATATGTTGAAAGTTTTTGTTTAATATTCTGAAAACTGTAAGAGTGAGGATACATAAATGCACCTGTGCAGGGAATTTACCTGTGTTTGAATTTCAAGGATTAGTAGCTTGTGAAAAATAAAGGGAAATTTTTTAAAAGAAGGGGTCTATGTGGCAATTCTGTTTCCTGTGTCTGTAACACATTCTCATGTGACATGCAGGGGCCTCCTGTAGCTTGAGTGTACAAGTTTAACTTCATGATAATTGGCAAGCAAGAGATGCCTGCCTGGAACTCAGATCTGTAGTCATGCTGTAGTCACCCTCCACTCTGAGGTTTGGGAATGCAGAAGTGCTGTTGCCTCCCACTCCTAGCACTGGGGGCTCACAGAACTTGTTGTTCAAGGATTCTCTGAAAATGCAATCCCTTCAGGGAAAAAGAGTCAGGGTTTTGGAAGTGTGCTAAAAAGCAATCCTGCTTTCATTCTCCCAGTGGTGGTACCCTGCTCATTGGAAATCTTTGAATTCCCCCTGACAGGCCACCGGAAAACCTCATCTCTGACCTGCTTCCAACAGGAAGGTTGGACTAGATAAGCTCCAGAGATCCCTGCCAACATAGACTGTCCTGTGGTTCTATGCTAATTTAGGAGACAAGGAACTCAGAAGACAAACTACAACCTGAAAGAAAGGCTATGATATGTTTAGAAAGCATCACTGACTTTAAGCCTTGACAGAATGGAAGGAGAAATATGTGAGGAAATCTATTTTAAGAAATAAAAGTATTTATCCTTAGTTTCATAAAAATTGGTGTGCAGTTCAGTACTGTTGGATAACAAAAGTATGGTAAGAATTGCATTTCAAGCAACTTCTATTATAACATTGCCACTATTTATTATTTGTTATCTTAATTTCTTCACTCTCCATACTACATATGATAAAAGAAATCTTATACTAACATTTTTTTCTGGAAATTCACTTAATTAGATGTATGTTGTTATGTACTTGTTTTATTGAGTTGTTAACCTACTTGTGGGGTTAACATTAGAGAGAGAAATTGGTTTTTTTCTCATCTAAACTGGACTGTCAGCTTCTCAAGGGGCTCCTCTGCTTTGTTTTTAAGCCGCCTTTCTTGACAAGTGGCTACTTTGTTCCAGTCCACAGAGGAAAATTCCATTAGAGATCTTGTCGTTGCCCGTACTAAAACTGCATCTTCAGGGTCCTCAAATGGTACTCTGCAAAAAGAACAAAGCAAGTCCATTACCTGAACGTTTCCAAACCGCTTCAGAACTAATTTACAACATGCACACTCTGGAAAGTGAAAGTGGCAGTCATGATGACACTAAGAGGGAGGATTTAAAAATATCAAATTTTTGGAAGGTTTTGTTCTACCAAATTTAAGAAAGCAAAACAAAATAAGAAAAGGGCAGAATCATGGGATTCTATTTGAAAAAAATCATACTATGAATTATTTTAAAAACTTTTATAGTAGACTTAAAAATGGTCCTTTGTTTTCAATTTTTTTCCTCCACAAAAGTTATAATTGCATACTTTTAATGCTCTTCAATGGACATGATTCAAGTGATTTGGTACCCATTCATGAAAATGCACATTTACTTCACTGTGGATCTCTTAACTACTCCACAAATCTCCATTCTCAAGCTCTGAATCCAGATCACTGTGAGCTTGTGTTCATGTATCCTGCCACAGCTGCAGTCTGGGAGAGAAAAGCAGCACTGACAAGGACCCAAAACCTTCAAACTCATACAGTATTAAAACTTTACCTTGAAAGACCTTATTTCTTAAAGATGTCCCTGTAGTAACACACCTCATAAAAGCCACAGGACTATCTCCTCTGAGTCATGCACTTTATCATGAAAAGGCACCTTGCAAAGCCTCAGCATTTCCATAAATGAGACTTAAGGCAGCTGTACATCCATTCTATCAATGAGGACTACTAACTGCACTGAAGGCAGGTAAGAATTAATTTTTCAGCAGAAATGAACTTGATTTTTAAAGAGCTATGCTCAGAGTACTATAAGAGGTAGGTTCGTATTACTTTCTTTAATGCATTTTTCAAATCTTTTCATTTGTAAAGCTACAAAGTAAATCCAGGCCTGATACCTAAAGTTTGTAAATCTACTCTTAAAAAGTTTGCATCTAAAATGTCATCACATTAAAATGCAACCTTTCTCCTCTCTCAGTCGAGATACAGAGATAAGTTTTACATTTATTTCTGTGATTTTGAAACTGAACAGAATAAAAATAACATCACGTACACACTGAAAAGGTTTCATTCTACAAGTCATAATATCTTCCAGAGAGTGTATTTTTGAACAGCCAGCCAGGAGAACATTTTCTTGGACATAATATGGAACAGCTATTCTGATGCTCTAATACTTTGAGCATGCTTTTCTAGTGATCAGTGTTTGATCTTTCAAATAAATGGCATTTTTATGTACCCATTTCCAAATGTGGAATACCTTTCAATACTAAATTTTAGACAACAAACCTAGAGTAGAATTGCAGCTATATTGAATACAAACACCTGAAACTGTTTCAAAAGCTCATTTTTATGGACATTTTCTCTAGTTTGGGTATTTTTTAGGCATGGGAAGAGGAACTTAAATGCTTCAGAGCTGTAAAAGGAAGAAGACACTGAAATGAAAACATTACTTACTTATTTGTGCTATTTCCGAATTCATGACCTATAACAGAAAGTTCAAATTATGACGTTAATGGCTGTACAGCAATTTGAGTAGCTGAGAATTGATTGCTATCGTGATCCTAAATTGCTTGTTCAAATTAATTAAAAATTAGCACATGATTTGAAATGTTTAAGGTATTATTTTATTAAATTACTATGGAAGGAAGTATTTCCTAGGATTTAAGTGTATGTAGTTTTAAGTTTCTTGTGTTCTATTTCCTATAGAAATAGATATCCAGGCTTTTTTTCTTTCACAGAAAATGATGCCACTGTATATGTGTATGATTGCAGGATAAAAACAGGTGTCTGCCTGCCTTGATAATCATCAGCAAAATAAATTATTAAATGTGCTTAAACTATCCTCCTTTTCGCAACCTTTTCAAAATCATTGTTAAATGCAGTGCGTTCAGTTTTACTATTGTGATATATACATTTAAATAAACTTGCTGGTACTTGATTACTTTCCAAACTTCCATCTACACTGTTTAAAATGCTACAATTTCAGTTACCTATGCACAGTGGTGGTTTTTTTATCTTTAAAACATCAAAGAAGCTGATGATATTATATGGGATTTCAAAGTTGGTTATGGGTTGTGATATAAGTCCAGGTGGTATTCACCTGCTTTCTTGTGCCAGGATCGTGCTGTCTTCCAGATGTGAATGTTTTAAGAACTCTAAAAATTGTGTTATATGGTGTTACAAGACATTATTAAATATTCTCAGCTTGGAAAGCATAAAGAGGAATCTGCTTACAAAACCAGGCAAGATACGTAAAATTTAGAACACTAGAAGACAATACTTTTAAGAGATTATTTTGTAAAAGCACTAGAGGGCATCAAAACTCTATGATGCTGAGCACTGAGAGTCAGAAGTGTTTTGAAATGTTTTGAATATAAGTAAAACTAAACACAAGACTCATATTGACAAAACATTTGCCAGTTATCTTTAAGGACAATTCTGTAACTACAGGGTGTGATTAGAATTTATCTGCCACAATACTGTCAGTAGAAGGATTCATTTGTTGTCTGCTGCTGCTACAACTACTTACTTTATGTAGCAAACCAGCTGAGTTCTTGATGCATTTATATTTTATTACTAAAACCAATAATGATGAATAAAACCAACAATCAGATGAATGAAAAAAACTGTTTATAATTCAAATGATCTAAAAATGTATGCCTTCCTTTGAGTATTATGAATACCTGAGGGGATTATCGGTCTTCTGGCTGGTTGAGTGCATCTGCTAGATCCCACTGTTGTCCCCAGGGATGTATCTGCTCTCTTCCCAAAAGCTATTGACTGCATGACCCAAGCCCTTTTAGGGTTATAGAGGTGAAGCGCTGACTCCCTTTCTCTTTGTGTAACCACTGTTAAAAAGGGATATAAAAAAAATTAACTTCATTTCTATCAGTTGAAAAGGCAGCATACAAAAGGTGATTCATATATTTTCCGTGCAGTTTTTTAATAGATTTAGAAATAATAATAGAAACATTTAATAAATGTTAATTACACAATTTCATGGCAATTCAAAATGGGAACATGGACTGATATTTCCTAAGGTTTTAGGGTGAATCCCTGTACAATAAAGTATTTTCTTCTGAGTGCCGTAGGATCAGAAGTTTTAAATTAAGATACTAAGAAAGCAAGACTTTTTGTGTTGCTTAAATGAGCTCTCCTGCAGAAGTCAGTAGTGAACTGGAAGTGTCTTTATGAATTGCAAAAACAAGTCCTGGATTAAGGCCAGTTTAATTCCCATTGGTAAATTACAGAGAAAACCCTAGGAGTGAAATCAAAATAAAAATTTAATTTTTTCCTGTTTTGCATTTTAAAAGAAATAACTTTAATTTTTAAACAAATAGTTTGAGGCTCTTACATCGGGGATAGTAGCTTAAATTTTATGAACCTTATACTAATCTAGTACTTCAGCTATGGAACAGAAGTCAGCTAAACTTTTAGAACAAGCAACTGGCAATAGCATTTCCAGTTCAGAGAAGTTTTGGAGTCATGGTGTCTAGGGGACCAATTAGGAAGGAACTGCAGTAGTCATGCCTGAAGGTAACAGAACATGAGCACATGTCTTGTGTGGAGACAGCCAGGGCTATGCTGGTAATGTTCTACAGATGGTGAAGAAACTTCGTAATTTTTCAGAGAAATAGTTCACTAAATAGAAAGTCCAGGATACAGGTTGATACAAATTGCTGCCTCAAGTCTTAATCCAGGACTGACTACAGTAGAACTGTATTTAGGAGATGAAGTCCAGGAAGTTTTATGGAGGTGTTTCTAGACATGTAAATGCAACACGTATTTTTCAGCACATTAAGCTTCAGTCATCACTCCCCAGTCAAAAAGTGATATTTAGTAATAGCCTGACAAATGTGTTAAGCACAAGTGTAACACAAGAGCAAGTGCTCAGGAGAGTGGAGTACCTGTGCAAAATGACTGTGAGCAAATGGGCACATGGTCAGATCCAGCAACTCCTCATCAAGCCCTGGCACCTGCTGGGGCCCATCCACCAGCTTTCCTTCAGGACAGCTGCACAGCTTCCCAGCACCTGCAGATGTCCTGCATCTGTCTTGCTCAGTTCCCCTTTCATGAAGATGCTGGTTTTTCCTTGCTACTTTCTTACAGAGCTGAGGTAGGACTCAGTTACTTTCTCAGTGCTCTCAGTAGTTTTCAGTCCTGTCAGTCACAGTTCACCAAACACCAGAGACAAAAATCACCAAAGGCGATTTTCTGGGTACATTGTGACATGTTTATAGATTTACTAGTTTAAAATCTGGCTATTCTTAAGACAGTTTTTGTTTTGTTTTGGTTTTTTCTGTAGAATTTACAGCAGATAAGCTGTGAAATATCTCTTGATAATTTCTGAATATTTATTATATTTGAAAGCTTGATCTGTGTTTATCAAAAAATGTGTATATACATACTTAAACTGTACAGAAATGTGTAGATAGCTCAGGATATCATCCAAACCTAAGTAAGCACACTCACCCATGTGAATATACCAGTCTGAATGCACACAGGTAGGTGTTTTTAAGCACAAGCTTTTAGCTTTACCCATACAGACCAAGATACAAGAAAAAAACAACACATTTTAAAAAGAAAAATAAATCAAAAACATTTGACAAAGTGTTTATGCCATGCAAACTCTTTTTGCTTGGCAAATTGTACAAAAGCCAGGTATCTTGTTAAATTAGTTCTTTTTTTTCTATCAACAAATGCATGTAAAAGAACAGATAGGATAATTTGACTTATTTATCCAAACTGGTTAGTATCAAAAGCAACTGTCAATGCATTGTGAGAGAGGAAAGCAATCCTTACACTTCCTGTCAAGGAGCTGAACTGAAGGAAGGAAGTATATCACATAAAGCCGGTAGTCTGGATCATATGCCAGAGGGTTTTGGAATAAGTCTGCAAAATGTATACAGAAAAAAACAACATCACAAAAAACAAACCCAGCAAAACAACAACTTTGCAAGGCAGGAAAATTAAAGGTCACCAGGAGTCAAAGACTTTGTACAAAATATCAAATTCAAATTTTTCTTAGGCTGGGTAAACAAAGTAGTCTCTTCACACATGTGAAATTTCTCATCTAAACAGGGTCTGCAGGAAGTGACTTACTGCAGAATATACAAAATAGCACAGGCAAGAACTGAGTAAAGGTGTCATCATGCATTCCAAACCTTTAGAGTTTTTTTTCTGTTTTTTAAGATCTGCAGGAAAAAAGATCCCTTTGATTTTCTTACGTATTGTTAGGTAATGCCTATTTTAAATAGCAATGGTCTTTTATGTGTGACAGCTTAAATGTAAGACACAAAATTGGTAGGAGGATGGAGTTACTAATATCGGATGAGACACCTAAGACATTATCAGAACTGATAAAAGGCTGTATCCCACAGATACAATATAAAATGCAAATACACAGCCTTCTGATGTTTTGACAGATGATGAGTTTGAAAAGAAACATAAAAGAAAAATGTTTCAGAGGGCCTAAACTCCTGAGAACCTGGGTGCCAGTTGCTTTTCTTGAGACTGGAGATACCAAGCTCCAAAAGCCCATTAGCAACTTGGCTAAAATGTTCAGGTTCACATTACCTGTATAACCAAACCTTTGCAACACAGAGACGGGTATCAACCCTGTGCTGCTGCTTTGCCAGGTGTGGAACATTAGCCTCACATGCCAAATCAGTTTGTTTAGTGACAGTGATAACTGAGGCTGATTAAAATAGAAACTGGCTCATTTACAGATGTGCTAATAAACAAGCAAGTGTTGTGGGGTAGGGCCTCTTTTCTCAATAAGAAATATAATGCTTTGTATCTCCTTATACAAATTCTTCTAAGAAAGTAAAAATAATCAGGAGGCTGTCACATTGAGACCAGAGCAGGGGGTAAAAATGTAAATTAATAATCTTTACAACTACTGCTACAGTCTACAGTCATTTGTTTTTCTGAGGTGAGGCTGTGGCTAATATTTGCTCTAGGGTAAAAAAATTATGTCATTTTAGCAGCTAGGGAGAGGAAGATGGTATTACAGAAGCAAGTAAGAGACGTTAGAAGAAAAATGTCTGAAAATATGCCATAGAGATTTGTAGACCACAAGATGCAATTTCATGTTCTTCAGGACAAATACAACTGCTGAGAGGGTTCAGTGCTTGATGGGATTTAGCAGGTATTTTGAAGATGCAACAAGGCTGGAATGAGCATTTGTCCTCTTCTTCATAGAAAACACCTTTTCATGTATTCAGAGGAGAAATTTTATTTTAACTCTTTAACAAATTTTTAAAAATTGCTGTACTTAAAATTAGTAAGACACCCACAAGGTGGCAGCAAAAGAAAGTTCTATTTTAACTGGACGACTTCTTTCCTAGAAGGTGTTAATCAGAAAAAATATTATGTATGTATCTGATAAGTCTGTTCTTGAGTCAAGAAAATATGCTATAGCACTCCAAAGAGAAAAATGTTTCAGAAAGATCTCTAAAAGCAGGTATGTTTGGAAGTAGAATAGAATAAAGATTCAAGAGAGATTTTTTCAAGGCACAAACCAGGTCTGCTATTAAACACTTGTGAATCTGGATGTTGCTTGGACAATGTGTCTCTACTCAACAACACTGATTTGTAGGTTTGTTTTAGACAATGTGCATTTTTCTACTACTCATTTTTACAGTAAATTCAACCATTGTACAGATCAAGATGGTTTTGTTTTACAAAACATCTGGGATCAATTCCTGGCTGAGCTATCGACTTTCTTGTCAAGGTCATGCAATTTTAGTTCTACAAATTAGGATAATGCTTTCTTCCTCCACAGTTTTGTCTGTTTTCTCTATTTGGAGTGTAGGAAAACAGTGTGCCTCTGCCACATGGGGCAGAAACATAGTGAACAAGAGAGTTTTCTGAGGTTTAGCAGCAGGATGTTATCAGCTGCGGACAATAAATCAGTTGAGGCAATTTACAGACTACATAACAAAAATCTTGGATTCTAAAAGGGAGATGTGAGCACAAGGTGAGCCCATAAAGAAACACTCTGAATCTCCCAAAAGGCTGCAGTTGTAAGCAGCATGTGCAGTAAATCTTTTGAAGCCGAGTGTCTTCCCTAGACACCTGATGAAGGATGGTTGTTATGCTACACATCCAGTGAGGGCAGTGGCTAAAATCACAAAAGAGCCTTCAGGAAGAAAAATGCAACATTTTGGCAGCTGGACGCTGCTCCTGAAGCGAACAATAATAGTGTGTTTTAATAGTTCTATTGTCCCCAAGAGTTACAAAATAATAAAACATTGTTAAGTATCCAGGAGCTCTATTGAAGGATAGCAAGTGATTTTTTTTTTTTTTTTAAATCAGATTGGCAATAAAAAATATCTACCTCATAACAGTAAGAAGTCTCACTGGTTTTGTTTTACAAAAGTGAGTTATGGGCACAGCCCTTTTCATAGCTACACAGTGCAAATTCTGCACCCATTTAATTTTAAATTTAATATTTATTAATATTGCAAGAAGGCAAATATATAGTAATACAATATATAGGATAATACTTTTAAATTTTATTTTGTTCATTTACTGATTTTATTTACTTCAAATATGACAGGGCATTTTATTAAACCAATAGAAACCTATTAATTCAAGAATTCATTGTTATGAAAGCCCCTTGAAGCAAACACATAGACATTTTTTTTCATGACTGCAAAGGTCAAGAAGGAATGACTTTAAAGTTATGGTTATTAAGGTTGTTAAGCTTCTTCTACTGATTACTGTTTACTCTTGTACAAATCTTTGAACAACAGCTATTTTTTTAATTAGGGTATATCAGTATATTATATATTGTTTGATTGTTCTTTCAAACACTTTCTTTTCTATGGTGGTGGCCAGTCCAATTTGCATCCAATTTTCACTGTGCCTTTGTAACTGCCATTTATAATAACTCAGCAGCACTTTAACTATCTGCTATGTATTTCCCACAGATGGTTGCAACAAGTACAACAAACTTCCTGTGCTTGTTGAAGCTCCTTATTATTTTGTAGAGATAACATTAATTCAAGTGACTGCACCATTCATACACAGGATGTCTCTCCAGACACTGCCTAATCACTTCAAACAACTACATTCTTAAATGGACTAATTTTTCTATCTTGCATATAATGAGAAGAATTTCAATAGTCTGGTTGCCATGTTGTCTTCCTAAACACTTGATTTGTTTTTCTTAGTTTTGGTCCAGGGTCAAGTTCAATTAAAAGTTTAATTTTTCATTGTTATTTTCCTTTCCCACAATCAGACATTCCGTTTTCTGAATGCTTAAGGAGGTGACATTCTGATATTCACCTCCTTAACCATGTCACCAAGGCACAAAACTTGTTTACTGTCTTCTCCAAGTACTAAGCATTTGGCATGACCTATGTTGACATTCCTTAAGGAATCATGGAAAAATACTGCTTATATTTTCACTTTCAATAGCTTTATAGCATATAATCCTACCTTCCCTGGAGGCTACTTCTTACATTATAATTTGGTGGTGCCAACACTGTCTTGTATAACTTCATTTGAAATTTTAGACATGGTGCTATTTTAATTTTCAGCCAGTGTATCAGAAAGTATGCTCCTTAACAGACATTGTTACAAGAAATACCTAAAGCACATTTATTCTTAGACTCTAGAAATCCACAGTCTGCCAAAAAGATGCAGAAAGGAAGTTCTATAAGCAAGAGAATTAATGAGGCAGGAATTTGGGTTCTATAACCTATCACTCACACTCTCAACAGAAATAACACCCATTTTTCAACTCTTTTCACCTCTGTGATAATCTCACCGTACTCCTGTGTTGTATTACAAAGAGGCAGCTCCTTAGATACTTTCCAAGCTACTCATCCAAGCTACCAGCAGCCAGCAGCCAGCAGCCAAAAAGTTAACTTCTGAACTCAGCAGTTTCTCCTCAGTTGAGGTACTCTTTGTGGAATTTGCATGTCTTAGAGATCTCTTTCTTCTGTCAAATTTGGCTGAAATGGCTTATTAGATTCAAAAGCTATTGGCAAATGATGTGGAAATAGACAAGAAATGTGATAAGAAACTAAAAATCTACTACTTGCTGTTCTGCAAAATAAAAACAAGGTATTACTTAGAGTTTCCAAGCTTATCATGCCTTTCAATTCCTTCACTGTTTTGCCAAGTTTTCTTAACTCATTGTTGTGAAGAAACAGAATCTGTAATGAACATAAGTGTTTCAGAGCACCTGAAATAAAATGAAAAACAATTAATCGCTCTCATCATAGCTGCCTTTATTAGAACATTATTTTGCTATGCTGTACACTTTTGGTATTTTAGTTCTCTATCTATGCCTGTGTCTTTGTAACATGTTGTATGAGATGTTAATTAAAACTATAATTTAAAGATATTTCAATATCCTTTTCACCTTTCTAATTTCTAGTCACATCCTTTAAGCACATGTCTATCTTTTTTACATTCCAATTTTTTCCATTTGTCCACATCACCCTTGCATTAACAAATCTGCCTCAACTGCAACCTCTCTTCTACCTCTCTTCATTCCTTCTCTATCCCTGTAATCTTGGTTAATTCACTTCCTTTTACCTTGACCTAATATTACCTTTGCCTCACAAACAATAGTATAACCCCAATACTACCTTTGCCTCACAAATAATAGTGAATTCCTTAGAAAATATTTCTGTTTCAAGTAATTATTGATGTATTAAAAAGCTATTACAAAATATTGTTTTGACCCAGACTGTGTTCACACCACATCAAGATTAGACATCTCATTTTCCAAATTATATACAGTATTTTATCCACATTTCTCTAGTAATGATACCCTTCTGCTTACCCATATTTTGTTATCATCTGTATTGTCTCTTGTATCCATGCTAATGTCTTTCAAAGACAAAGTTTGTTTGAAATCTCACAGAAACTAAACACCATTTCTCATTCCAGCATTTTACACGGGCAGAAAAAAACCCCCACATTTAAAATATCTAAAATATTTAGAAATGCATTATGCTTTGGCCTGTTCATTCACAAATTCACAAGTCTGGTAAAGCCATTTTAATCTACAAGGGCAAGCAAAACTAAAATAGAAGTATAAGACATGCGTTTTTAAAATAAACCAAGGTTGGCAGTAACTTTGCAAAAATATTCTGGTTATAAATTCTCAATATTAAATATAGTCATGTAAGATCAAAAATATTTCACATTTGCCTGACATAAAGAAAATGACATTTCATCCCTTAGACCAGAATAAACACATCACCTTAATGTCACCCAAGTATGCTGAAAAAACTAAATATCTAATAATTAACATGTATTAATTATGAAGACATAGGAGTGTTCAACATATTAGTTACTTGCTGTCATCCAGTTTTATAAATTTGAATGCAAATACATTCAAATTATATTTTCAATACGGAAAAAAGACAGTACAGCACTCTCCTCAACAACCTAAAAAGGGAAGATTGGTACCTGATATATCTGTCAGCTCATTATTGTTGAGATAGAGTTCAGTCAAGTAATAGTTTTTGGTCAAGAAGGTTAAATCTTGGATCTGAAATTAGAGTTAAGTAAATTGTTATATGTCACTGTGAATGTAGTGTTGGAGAATTATAAATGTAGCGTCTTGAAAAGTGTTTAACCACAGGTAGTTTCTTATATTTCTGTTTAAGATTCTTGGTTTAAGGATTCTCTTGACAACTGAACCTTCATTAAAAATACTAATTACAAATTAAACAGTACAACCTTAACTAATTTTTTTAACTACAGATTTAATCTTTGTATTTGGAAACAGATTTCCTTGAATGACTGGTCTCCACATTTTCTCTTCTTTCTATTCATATTTGAAACCATTTTTATTGTGAAAAGATCCTTGTAGAGCATAATAATTCTATGTTGATTTAAGAATATTCCTGAAATATATAATTGGAATAAACCCAGCATCTTCTTTTTAAGTTATTTTTTCACCAGCAGGTTCAAAGAGCACAAATTTGTTCTAATTTACCAGAAATACCATCTAATCATATTTAGAGAATCAATTAGAGTTACAGAAAAAAAGTCAGTATGTGTATGGGTGTATTCCCAATAAAGAGGTATCTTCAGTCCCTACAGAATCACACCCTCTTGTTTGGAGAAGCTCAATTCCAATACACTTTTGACTCCAGTGGAAGGTAAAGTATCTGCAGTGGGATAGCAAGCCAACCTTTATAATCACTGAGAACTGGGAGTACTGATGGTGCTGAAGTTTCCATCCTACAGTTTAAAGGCAAGAACAGCAAACAGAATTTTATTCCTGACTCTTTGAATTCTGTGATAAAAAGTAATTTGTTACAAAAGGAATTATTTCAGTCCTTTCATTTTGCCACTGACTCTGAAATAAATGTGCTTTGCTCTGTGCATTAACAGTATCTGAAAGCTGGATGGAAAAGCATAAGACAGCTTTTCCACTCCTTTGTACAGTGGTCTTCCCTATTTTTGGCAAGTTTTGTTTTTAGAATCATCCAAAGATTGCTTTTTTCTGATAAAATTATTGAGTACAGAAAAATATGCTCCTCCTATTCAGGCATTTAAGTGAGACTTTTCCTATGAAAAGCCACTGAGTGACTTCTCCACACAAGTTATATAGAACAACAGAAGAATGTTCTTTGTTACGCTTAGGTAAGAAAGTGAGAACTGTGCAAAATTCCAATTTATTTATTTATTTTTGATCAACATGATCAGTTCTGCTTAGTCATCAGGCAATTTCTTCTTTTTCTTTAGTGTCCTTTAGCTATATAAGGAAAAGCCATATTATACCTGTGATTTTAGTTCAACATTTTAATGTATCTATACATTTGCTTTTTTCAAAAATAGCTAGTAAAGTACAGATCTTTTGATGAATTGGACATAAGATGCCATATTACTTATGCTAGCCTGGGGCAGAAGATATACATGTGCTCTGAAGTGACATGGAATGTAAATTTATTTTTTCTGCTGCTCACAGATCTACTTACTTACCTGAGCAAGCAGTTCTGGAGATTTAAGAATTTGGGCTCACTATGAGAGTCATGTAAACTACTGTACCTGTGCACAGGGAGAAGCTCATTTCACAGAGTTTTATGTCACTCTTGTGTGCATGACATCAAAAAGGAGCCTCACCTCGACCACCAGCCTGCCAGGAAATAAACTATGCATGTCTGCAAGAATACAAATGAAGAGCCATGCACTTCCTGCAATCCACTCCTGTCCTACAGCCACATCACCCCTCAGTCTGCTCCGAGGACTGCCCACTCTAGCTACACTGGGGACTCAGGAATTAGCACAAAACCTCAGCTTCTTAAATTTATAAAATTTATTAATCTGATGTGAATCTAAAGGAAAATAGATTAGCTTATACTTTGTAATGTAAAAGAAAAAAAAAAGTTTTCTCCAAATCTGTTATATTTGACAGTTAAATTAGCCTGGAAATTAAAAGTAATTTATTAGTTTGACAATTATATAATACTTTATGTTAGAAAAAACCAAAAAATAATAATCAGGGAGTACAGATGCATTGTTCTGCGCTTCAGAGGAATACCTTATTACCTTATTGTTGTTAATCCACAAATACCGTAATCTGCGAAACTGTGCTAGACTTGGGATACTTCTTAGTCCTCTGGTGAATGAAAAAAAAAAAGAGTAACAAATTTCTTAACATTAATAGTGCTTACTAATTTTATAAATATTTAATTTTTCCATAAATAATATTATACAAGAACTAGAAAGGCGCACTTCCTTATAGTTTATAGAAGAGAAAGACACAAAGAAAAGATGGCAGAGACAGTGTAAGCACTCTGCACACCTGCAAGCATAGCAAGGCAGCAGGTGGTAAAAAAACAGGAACAAAATAAGTGATACATTAATTGCTTTTCCATAACAGCATGAGTTATGAGTCTGAGTCACGTACTTTGCAGTTTGTAGAAATCCTGTTCAGAACACAGAAGGAGAAGTTTGACACCCTGGGGACATGAAGCTAAAAGGAAAACTGCTTTGAAGGTGCAGGAGGGATGTCCATCCACAGTGCCAGAGAAGCCAACAGAGGACAGACATCAAGCACGCCAATGTGCATTTTTTATTATTTTTCATATTAGTGTATACTGTGAAATATTTTGCCTTTTTTCCACTCATGCCCTATTCTCACAGACATTAGTATATCCATTGAGACTGAAATGATCTCCCACTTGCTAGTATGGTATATGTTTATTGTGTATTTGTGTAATTGTGTATCTAGCACTTTGAGCTTGCTAGTGTACCACAAATAAAAAATTACCTACTGACCAGAAAATATTAGTGAGCTGCCAAGTGATTTTAACTAATTGCTCTTCTTTATTTTTATTGCTATAAATAAATGTTCTTAATTTCCACTAGAAAAATTATAGATTACTTTTACCTGACAATTTTTGAATCGCCTTAATAAAAATTTCCTTGTGGATGTGTTGCAAGATGAAGGCCAGTGTTTCAGAAAGTAACAGGACTGAAAAAAAAATAACCTCATATCATCAAGCTAAAGGTGTGTTTGTTTTCCAACTGTGAAGTCTGGTCTCTATCTTTCCAAGTTGACTTTTTATTTGTTGGGTTGTTTTTTTTCCAACACACCCTCCAGGTACAGACAAAGGGAGGGTGGATGCCTTTTCTCATCTTGCTTTTGCAAATGAAAAGTCTGTCAAAAGCAAGCCCTACAAAGTTGAGGTGGTGTACTTTCAGTCCCTTGTATTACTGAAAATCAGATTATCCTCTCATGTTGTTACTGTAAACTGTTTATTTGGCTTCCTCAGATAAGCCATAAAAACTAACCCTGCAAATACAGATTTAATGCATCTACTGTCACAAGTAACAAGTAACAAAAAAAGACATTGCTGCAAGTAACAGGGACAAGCAGATGGCTGTTGACAGGACATAAAGAGCTCCTACTAAGCTCCTATCCAATTCTGCTATGCATCACTGAACAACATTTCAGGTAGCAAAGCCAAAATTTCTTATATTCTTGGTCACTGCTACTCTATAACTAGTTTGCAGTTTTACATTTAATTTGCTTTATTCCCTCTCTAGCAACAGCCTAATCTTGACTATCTCCAAACCTCAGTCTGTTGCATTTTTGGTTTTGTTTTTTTTTGTTGTTTATTTTTTTCATATTAAGGCATTTAATTTGCCCCAGGTAGAGCTTAATTCCTCTAACATTTTAAAAGAGCCTGTCCTTTTCTAGATGCCTTCCAGACTTCGTACATCTTTTATAAACCAATCCTTTTTGGCCTGCAGCACTCCTTTTTTACCTACTGCTAAGTTAATCAGTTTTTCTCAGATGACAGCTTTCAGTGTCCAAAATACATTGTTACATGTCCCTTTAATAGTGGTTTAAAAATATTAACTCATTCCCTCTTATTTGATTGACTTTGGTTCTTTTTTTTCCATTTTCTTATTTCAGCTAGCAGAAAAATATGTCAAACAACAGTAACGGAGGCATGATCTGTTACAGAGCTTGGCTGGGGTTCAAGTTTATATAGACTGATACAGAATAAAAGGAATTCACTTCTAACCAATTATGAAAGAATCCTTCTGGAACCATCTTTACCAAAATGGTTTCATGGGAAGACAGATCACTTCTGTATCTGCCATGTGAACATTTCTTTTTATTCTATACCAAAAAAAAAAATACTTGAAAGCCAGTGAGGGCACACATTTAAGCATTTAAAACCAGAAAATACAACAATTAAGACTGTATACACAGTCTTAATTCTTTACATGTGTGGTATAATAATTGTATTGTTTAGAAAGTATGTATATATGCACCTTGTAATTTTCTCATTATTTAAACTTCTCCCTTAAATTTTACCTTTTTTTTTTTCTAAAATGCACGTTTGAAAATATTTGGCAGTAACTATATGTTTTATCTCACAAAGCATCAGATGCTTTCTCGATGTAAATCAGGAGATGTGATATGGAATTTAACATATCAGTGAGCACATTTAGATTTTCAAGATCATATGATTTCCACTAAAACAGACTAGACCACACTGAAATCCCTTAATCCCTTAACAACTCTTTTATTTTTTTTCACTCATTGGACCAGGAGACCTTGAAAACCTTGTCCCTGAATTATTAAACTACAATAGTTCTCCTATATGCTATCAACACTGTGAGCAGTGGATGCAGTTGTGAGGCTGCAGACAGGTATGCAACACTTGGAATTGTGCCCTGGCCAGAAATTCAAAGTACGCTTTCCCAAAACTTTGAAGTATGTCCTGTCATGTATCCATCCCTCTATGGCAGCCTCTCAGCATGTTCATACTACAACATACACCTATATCAGCCTAGATCACCCACAGGTTCATGAAAGCTTTGCCTTCCTTTACTTAGCACGTCGTCTTCTCCTCATCTGCCCTACATCTCAAGCTGTTTCATAAAGGTCTCAGAGGAGATCAGCTCTCTCATCAGTACTGCCTGACCAAAATAAGTGTTCTTGTGCTTGTGTTCACTTCATGTTGCCCTGCCCTCCCTTCAGCTCTTAACAGTACAGATGCAGGTAATCTGAAAGGTGGTACCACTGAGTTTTGCCATTGCAGTAACACATTTCTTCAGGGAGGTCAGAAATTCGGCAGTTCTTAGACTGGGCAGGTCCCATGTTCTTTCATTTGCCTTCCTGTTATTCCTTCCACCCAGCCTTACAAGCCTGTTAGAACAGGCAGAGATCAGCCCATCAAGTCTCATTCCTCTGCTCCCCATGGCAGAAATTCATGTACAACTCTGTGAACTCACAGACCCTCAAGCAACTCTAGGTTGCTGGAGAGAGATTGTGTATCTAGAGATGAGGCTGTTAGTTGTGAGCACAGTGCTGCTGTGTGTTGGTGCACCTTCACCATTTCTTCGTTCACAACATGTATGGACTATGTAACAATATGATTTACTGGTATTTCACACATAAATTATGTTCAGGGAGTTCCTGATACAGAAAGCACTATGAAAGATTACCATTTACTGCATGCTCTACTTTTACTAAAAGTCAAAACAATAAACATTTTACTTACTGTCTAGCCAGATACAGTGCTACGACATCCACATTGTTCTTATAGCCACAGATCTTCAGCTGGTTTTCTATTGCCTGACAGTATACAGCACATTTGTCAGTATAATATGTTGCATCACTATGGATTCATTACATTGTAACATATGTGAACTCAGTGTTTAAAGTAATGTGCAGACCAGAATTAATTCATGTATCACAGCACCTTGCAAACTGTAACACAGTCTAAGAGAGATAAAGAGATATTAAATTTCCAGTTTCTATTTTAAATTGATAAAAATACTCTGGTGATTAGGCTACACATATACTAATCTTCTTTTCCCGTGGAGAATCATAGTTGATAGACATGAAGTGAAAAATTAATGTATGTTAACTGGAGAATGGGCTTCTCACTCACATCAGCTAACCCAGTCCTTGTGATAAACAAGGAAACTTACTTTGCATTACAGTTGCAACTTCATTTTATGAAGCTTTAGTTGAAAACTGCACGACCTTCTAAAACTCTGAAAACTCCGCTTGTACATTTAACACTGAAAAATGCAGACATGATTTTTTATTTTCAGAGTATATTACTGGTGTGTCATAACTTGCAAAAGCAACAAAACCCATTAACATAAGAATTATGGATCTCTCTTACTAGTGACTGATAAAAACTAAAATGTGTATTAGAAAAAATGAGTTTAATACATGAGCTATTGTGCCCAGCATCATTATGATCATTATTGTTTAAAACATAAAATTGATACAACTACAAAATGGCTTGGAAGCACTGACAGGCATGTCTAGAGTGGCCTGTATTGGCTGCAAAACCACTCCAGCGTGTTCTGGGTGTACTAAGCCCACACAAAATAACTTGCAAATGTGTGGGACCCGTGGCACTCTGACCAAGGCAGGCAGGCACTCGCAGGCCGCTCGTTCCACACAGACTGTGTGGGACCTTGCCTTTTTTTCAGAACTCGGCACGGCCAGCTGTCAACTGCAGCCGTAGGATAGAGGAAAGAACTGGCATAAATGGCCATAGTTTTGTTTCTACAGGTGCAAAATCCGCCCACAGAACACCAAGTGATCCCTGGAGAAAAGCAGCCGTGCGACACCCCAAGTGTGCAGATGCCAGGCCCCGGCACGGCGGGACACACCGCTGGGGAGCGCCGAGTGACAACGGCGAAGGCACACCTACGGCAGAGAGCACCAACCCCGCGTGGCGCTTTCCACAGGAGCGCTGTGCTCAGACATTCGTATTTCGCATACTCCGTTATGCGAGATCTCATCCCCTCCCCACCCTGGAGCCCCCGTCCCTGTCAGCGCCGGCTCTCCGGCGGGGCCCCCAGGAAGGCCAGGAAGGACCGCTCCGGCTCCCTCGGAGGATCCGAGCCGTTTGCTACCGCCCCGGAGCCGGGCGGGGTAGCCGAGCGCCTGCCGCCACCGCGGGAGGACGGAGCGCGCCTCGCCTCGGGGTGGGGTGGCGGTGCCGAGCAGAGTGAGAGGACGAAGCCCGGCCCGCTGGGGCCGCTCGGCTGCTCCGGGCCAGGCCGGGGCGGGCCGCGGGGAGAGGAGGGGCCGCCCCCGCTCACCTGCCCGCCGGCCGTGGCGGACGCCGCCATCTTAGAGCCCCGCTGTGGGCGGCCGCAGGGCGGGATCGCGAGACGCGGGCTGAGCGGGGCTGGGCCGGGCCCGGCCGGACTCGGCTTTCAGGGCCACGACCCCGAGCGCGCCCCTAGAATCACGGAATCAGCTTAAGAAAGTACTTCTGAGATCATCAAGTCCAACCCATGACTGATCACCGCCTCAACTAGATCATGCCACTGCGTGCTACATCTAGTCTTTCCTTAAACATCTCCGGTGACTCCACCACCTCCCCGGGCAGCCCATTCTAATGTCTAAGCGCCCTTTTTACGAAGAAATTATTTCTTCCTCTGGCACAGTTTGACACTATGTCCTCTGGTCCTGTCAGTGGTTGCCTGGGAGAAGACTGACCTCCGCTGACTGGTACAGCCTCCTTGCTGGCAGTGTGGAGGGCAATAAGGTCTGCCCTGAGCCTCCTTTCCTCCAGGCTAAACAACCCCAGCTCCTTCAGCCACTTCTCATCAGACCTGTGCTCCAGAGCCTTCACCATCTCACTTCCCTTCTCTGGACATGGTCCAGCACCTCAGTATCCTTCCTGAACTGACGGTCCCAGAGCTGGACACAGTAGAAATGGTGTAACACTGCAATAGGAGCCCCAGCCTGGGCGTTAATCAAGACAGGCCTTTGTGCTGGGGAAGGAGCTGGATGGCGAGCGAGGGATGCCCACACCGGGAGCCAGGACTCGGGGAGGGCCAGCAAGGGACCCCAGTGGGCAATAGCTAAGGGGAATTGGGAGAGGCCTCTGATACCTCTGGGCTGTCTCCTGGATCATATTCGCTCACAACTCAGAAAAAGTGTGCTTTTTATTTATTTATTTATTTATTTATTTATTTAAACTATATTTGTATGATTTCTTTATTTTTAAGCACAGATCTTATGTCCATGTATGTATATCACAGAATCACAAAATTAATTAGGTTGGAAGAGATCTCTGAGATCACTGAGTCCAATCTTTGACCAAAGCCCACCATGCCCACTAGACCACGGCACTAATTGCCACACCCTGTCTTTCCTTAAAAACTTTTCAGGGACTGAGATTCCACCACCTCCCTGGGCAGTCCATTCCAATGTCTAATCACCCTTTCTGTAAAGAAATTCCTCCGAAATACTGTCACTTTTAAAGAAAACACTTGTGCATTTAATTTACAGCTAATTCACACCGTATGTATTACTCCCTTGCAACTTGCAAATCACCTTGGTGCCTGAGAGCCCCTCTCCCGTGCCGGCTCCTGGAGTGGGCCCACTGCTGCGACAGTGCTTTGGATTGAGTTTGGCTGTAAAGGAACACAAAATGTTTATGACATCCACATGTGCAAGCAACTGTTGCCATGTTGCTATTTTTATAACCATTTTACTGCATAGCACAAGCTGAAGAATAGAAAAAGCCATTTTCAGTGTGTGTGTGTGCACGCACTCATGTGCAAGTAGGACAATAGAAAATGTTTGATCAAGCTACAACAAAAATATATCTGAAAACTTGGAGCTTTATTTAGAATTTAATTTACGCCGAGCACTCAAGTTAGCAGAAATAGTCACTGTAAATTATGTGTAACTGATATACAAAGAACAAGAGTTGTGTGTGCAAATATATGAATAAGCTGTCCCTCATGGAATTAATTATGTGCATGCCTTTGCTTGTTCAGACCACTGAAGCTAGATGTAGTGTGTATGATGGAAGAATGGAACTACAGTACAAGTATTATATTGCAAATATCTAATTTTCAAGGAAAAAATTCTGTGGGTGGCTTCCATTTCAGCAAGGTAGCTTTAAACAAATAGAAACCTCAAATAAGAAAACTAGACATGTTAAAGGTAGAAAACTGACAAGAGAAATTCCTTTAATCCCTTATTTTAGCTTCTGAAAATACCTCTAGGGTATTTAAAATCATGAAAAGAGGAACTGTAATGGGGAAGAAGAAACTGGTACAGAGTCCTGTATTTTTTTTTCATTTGACATTCAAGTTCAGTGTTTTCAATGAACAAGATAGAGCTACCAGTTTAGAACTGTGAAAGGCAAAGTAGTTATTAAAGTCATGTTTAATAATAAAAGTAATTTACCAGCTAATCAAATTAACATGATAGGACAAGAAAAATTAGTAATTAAGCATGGGAAAAGAGAAAGAAAGAAAGAGGGAACCTCTGGAAGGTATTTTCTTGTATTCCCTCATAGAGGTGTGATGTACGTGGGGTGAGGGATTTTTTAGATATGTTTTGGGGTTTTGAGGTGCTTGTCTGTATTAGCAACTGGTAGCTACAGACTTAATCTGGATGATTAAATAGAGACTGTCTCAGACTCAGTAAAGTTAATATCTATACCTTTCTGCATTTGCAAATTGGCTTTTAAAATCTCCTGTAAGTTTAAAGGAACTTGGACAGAAAATGAATATTTTTTTATTCATACTGAACTGCCACCATATTTTACGCTGGCTTGGTATTGTTTGGTTTTTTTTCCAAAATACATAGCCTATCACTTGTTTATTACTATTCCTGAATTGCTGTCCATAAGTGAACAAATGACCAGTTTTCCTTTGGGTTACTAAGAATAATGACTGACTTGCTATACATATTTTTTGAAAAAATTTCTCATATGTAGTAAAAATACTTAATGTGCTTATGCATGGATAAGCAGTTGCAACAGGACAACATGACCTTACAGTATATGATAACAAAACATAGAAACAGAGGAAAGCACAGACAGATCTGCTTTTACTGACAAAGGTGATAGGGCAGAACAGGAGGTTACCGATTTTGTAAATCATCATGGTACAGGTGCCGTGGGAAGTGACACCTTTTGTTCTCTACAGAAGCCTCCTGGTATGTCCATGCTTCAGCCACACACCAAGGTTATAGGAGATTGTCATCGTATTGCTTTAGAGACCATATTATAGATGGATTTTCTAGGGACAATAAAATTCAGATTAAACCATTAAAATGTAACATGTCTGTTGGATGCTTTTTCCACTGCCACGTTCTTCCCCATCTCTGGGGGAAACTCTTCTGTGGAAGAGTCCTATCACAGTCTAGCACCTGAGACTTGGGCAATAATGATTTCATGTGCTAAATCATTCTGCCATTTTTTTACTTCCCAATGATTTTGACAGTACTTTACTGAAAAGCCAATAGCACAATAGCTCTTTGTAACTTAACCTGTTGTTCAATGGCTGTGAAAGATGAAACATACTAAAACCAATGCCTAATATGTGATATTTTTAATCACCAAAGTTTACAATCTTCAGAATTCAGCTATTCTTTGTCTACGATATTAGAAAAGATACTGTGCTGTATGGCTTTTCCACAAGGGTATTTTTAAAAACTGCATCTACATTTTATAAACTCACTTAATTTACATTGGAAGGGATTTCTGGAGGCCATCTACTCCAACTCCCCAAAGAAAGTAGATTCAACTACAGAATTATTTTCCATCTCAACATGTTCGTGTACTTCTGCTACTTATAGAACATCCATCAAAGAACAAAAGCACTATCTGGGACAAATTTAAAATTGCCTGTGTTATACTAAAGATACATAAAAATTAGTACAATTAACTTGTTTTTGAGGTTATTGAGTACATTTCACCTGGAAAGTGAAATGTAAAATATTCCAGATAAATGCGTATTTCCTTTTTTTCTTCTTGTAACCGGAAATATGTTATCAGTGTTTATCAGGTGAAAGCCAGAAGCCTGAGGAAAGATGAGTAGGATATCCCACCTGCATTCCAGCTATTGCTCCAGAAGAGTGCAGTTCTTTCGTAGGTCCAGTAGCTGCAAGCCCTGTGCAGATGTTTCAAATACTCAGCTCTGTCTAAAGCATTCAGGAATTTGAATCACTTTTCTCACTCATGCTATTAATCTTACTGATGGCACTGATAACATCCCAGCGACCCTTTAGCATGTTCAGGAGCAGAATTTGGGGAGGTGGTTTTTTGGTGTGTGTGGATTTTTTGTTTGTTTGTTCTTGTTTGTTTTTGAATAAATAACATAAAATTGATCGTATATCTAAACAGTTCAGACTATTTTCAGTTTGAAGGTAATGATTAACTGGAATGGTTAGACTGCTGCCTTGGAAACATTATTTAATTTTTCTAGTAGTATGTGTAATATAAATTAATATATTATACACAATGGTGAGTGTAAAGAAAGAAGATAAAACAGTCCAGCTGCAACCTATAGCAAAATTGTCCCAGCAGACTGCATCATATGGATGAACCACCTTGTTTGAATCCAGCTTCATTCTGACTTGACAACTGAATACTACCCTGGAGAATAAAGACCAATGTGACAAGCCTGCTGGAGAGGAGGTCCAACAGGTTTATAAATACTCTGTCTTATTTTTCTATCATCACAGTTTGGACATATCTTTCATTTCAAAATAACCAACTCTTAACTTTGTCTCCTGGCCATTCTGCATGCTGGAGTGTTGCTGCAGTACGGCTTCCAAGTCTCATCAACAGTCAGGAAAGAAGTAACTGTCTGCTCCAGCTCTTTTATGGGTATGTAAACAACATTCTGCAAACAACATCCTTATGGCAAATTATCCTACTACACAAGTTCAGAAATGTACATCCTAATCTTCATCAAAATGTTGTATGTGCACTTCCATGATGATTTATAGCTATCCTAATATATATATAAATATATATATATGCATATATGTATATATATATATACTAATATTGATGGGGTTTTTTCATAAAAACATATCATGTCATGTATGCTTAAAATTTTTAATATTGCTTCCTAAAAAAGTTGACTACCTTAACCTTTAAGTAGTAAGAGTTTTCTAGAAGAATATCTGCAGACCTCTCTACAAGTAGAAGTCAATACTGTTCTTACTGATGACTGATCCCGTGTCCCTATTAATTCAGACAATTCTCTGTCAGTGAGCTGTTTTGTAACCTGCAGATATTGATAAAAGCCCTTAACTTTTAATTTTCAAATAATATTTAATAGTGATATCTGCCAATGTAATTATCAGATGTAAACTT